TGTGACCCTCATTGTAATACTGCAATTTAGTCCTCAATTTAAGGAAAATTCCATCGTAGGAAAAGAAATTAAGCCATTGCTTACTTTCTAGTGAAATCAGCAGTGCCTGAATGGTTTCCTACATCAGTGTTTTAATGGGAATGGTGGGCACCTGGGGATCTAGTTGCATCAGAGTACTTGAAGAATAAACAGAGGCTCGTGGTCAGCCTTATTTGGCAGGACAATGTAAAACCTGACATATAGCTCAACCTTTTAAGTGGGGAAAAAAGCAGCACAGGAGGAAAAAATACTCTAGGACCCGAGAGACGTGATAAAAAATGCATGCAGTGTTTATGCCTTATTTAGCAAAGCAAGGGTCAGGAGGGGTATTATTTTTTTAGAATAACAGATGTTGATAGGAACAGACCTTTAGATTATCATGGTGAGAATAACACTGCTTCCTTTTTATATACCTTTTTTATCTCTATCTATTTTTAATTTCTCATATATTTCTGCATTTGAGGGCTGATTCAGGGATCTCTGCATGGGCACTCTCAGGTGTGGCACAGATATTGCCAAATCCTGTGGTGAATGTAGCCTGCTGACTGAATTCTGATGTTTTTGAAATAATATTTAATCAATGTTTTCCTAATGCTTAACTAGAGCTGCCTTTTCTATCTGACTTACTAAACTATCCTGAAGGCTAGTTAAGATATTAAAACCTTATCTGAAATTTAAACCTCTTATTCAGTTTTTAAATTTATAGCTAAATGGACAGACACAGATCCTTTCCTATGCTCTATTTCTAGGTGTAATGAGATTTCCCTCTCCAATGCCAGAAAAAAATGCGGTAGGTAGTGTCTTTAAAATATTGAATAGATAATTGTTGAGTTTTGAGATGGTGCTGGTGTTTCCTGAGGTTCATTCCATATCCTATGGCAAAGGTCTATTTCTGTATGTGTCAATGTGTATCCTGCTCTGTATCAGGGTGGAAAAAATCCCATTGAAATTTAGCTGCACCTAATAGCTGTGTCGATACTGCTGGTGGGACAGGCAGTAGAAATGCAAATGCCAGCCAGTGTTGTCCTTTGCTGGCAGCTGTGGAGCTGCAGGGTGAGCCAGCCCCACGGGTAGCACCTGGGTGGCCTGCCACACACTCTGGCTGCCTTCCCGGGCCAGCACAGCTCATTCCTGGGGCAACCCAGAACTAGCTCAGCTTTTGCCTCTGGGATGCTTGGCTGGTTTGCTCTGGTGTCATGGTCAGGGTGGGTGGGGTGGAACGATGGAGCAGAGGGAGATGATAATAATGTTGGGTTGTTTTCAGCGAAGGCCTCCACCACCTGTTCCTCCAGTAGAAGAAAATGGCAATGAAGAGGAGGAGATAGTGGTAGCAATGTATGACTTTGAGCCTACAGAGCATCATGACTTAAGATTAGAGAAAGGTGAAGAATACACGGTGATTGAGAAGAACGACCTTCACTGGTGGAAGGCAAGAGACAAATATGGGTAAACAAGAATTCCTTATTTTTCATTATAAAGTTGGTAAGGCTATTTCCATGTTATAGTAGTTTATATTGACTATGTCATCAAATAACTGTTTTAAGCCCCACTTTGGACCCCAGGCCTGAAATCTCATCCATATCTTTATTCTCACTTAGAAACTTATTTTTTAAAGTGTGGTTCTCAGGAGATTGTGGGGCCTGAGTGCAAAGATGGTTGCAGAATTGAAAGCTTTTACATTTATATTTCCTGTCAGACATTATAACTTTCCAATTAAAGCATCAGCCAACTTGCAAAACCTTGCTAGACTGGTACAGTACTCCTGCTCAGTACTCCTGCTTCCCTGGGGAATGGCTCATTAGGGAGCAATATGGTTAACAATCAGCTCACCAGGCTCTGACTTCCAGACTTGAATAATCATAATCTTATTTAATAGCTGGATCATTAGGGGCAGTCTTTGAATGAGTTGAGAGTTGCAGTGAGATGCCTTAATGACTACAATTTTACATACCCTGGATTAAATTTTTTCCCCGCAGTTTTAAAGGTGAAAGTTTCCATACTTCAATATTTGTCAGGTCCCTATTGCAATGTTAATGCTCCAAACAGGCTTCAAACGTGTTTCCAGTGACTGGCTGGGACCTCTGAGCGCAGAAGTGACAGAGCAGCAGAGGGTTACTCTTCTTCACCCCTTCCGCTGCTTTTCTCGGGCACTTCTGCCCGTGTCACTCCTTGAGGTGCAGTGAAAATAAATGTGGAAATGCTAATGCAGAAAATGAGTTTCTGTATAATGAGCAGTAGAGTGGGTGGGTCACTAATAAATAAATTATTGGTAATTAGCAAAATCAAACACTGTCTTCTAGGCATGCATTTTTACATATTTTCACTCAGATTGTATATATATTTATATATATTATTTATTTTTTTTTAGAAAACAAGGCTATATTCCAAGCAACTATGTAACAGGAAAGAAGTCCAACAACCTTGATCAATATGAGTAAGTGAATATTTGAATTAAAATCTAGAAGTTCATAAAATGAAAGCTATGCTTTCAGCATTACAAAGTATTTTTAAAGTTTCAAAGGCAATAATTTACATATGATATTACTGATCTCAGAGACTAAATGTAAATATTTGAAATATGCATATATTGTTCTGATTCTCCTCTTCTTTTTTTGCTGTGCTATATAATGTAGATAAATGAGATATCCATCAGGCATGTAGTTTTTAGGCTATTACTATAAAAGCAAAAAACCCCTCCCAATTCTCTGATAGACTAAGTGAAACTTTAAAGGAAATTTACCCATTATAAGTGTGCTGATTATTATTTTTTTTTAAATAGAGTGACATGCCTATCCCAAGTGTGTTGCAGTAAGATAGTGGAATAGAAAAAAGTGGAAATCATTCAAAGTAAACATAACAGATCAGAGATTTTGGAAGGCAGCTCTAATTTTCAAGAAAATATATCACTTGATGCATTATAAGTCTCAGTGTATGCATGTAACTTATCAGCTATTAAAAAAAAAACTTATCAGCTATTTTTTCCAGTTGTGTTTAGTTATGGAGTATTTATTTAATAGCATCAGTATAGAATTTAACACTGTGGTCTCCAAGCCTCTTGTTCTTGATATTCAAATTTCAGTATAGCATAAAGTGCCTGAGAGCTTAAGATGTATTTAATGACTTATAGATAAAGTGGAGCTGTAAGGAAATAAAACCAGTTTACAAAACCACATTAGTAGCTCCAGAACTCTATTCTCCGCCATGTATGGCTCCTACTGCTGTGTTTTGACAGAAGGTAAAATTTCTTCTGGGAAGAAGAAGCTGGAGAGGGACTTTTTACAAGGGCAGGTAGCGCTAGAACAAGGGGAAATGGCTTCAAACTGAAAGAGGGTAGGTTTAGATTAGATATTAGGAAGAAATTCTTCACTGTGAGGGTGGTCAGACACTGGAGCAGGTTGCCCAGAGAAGTTGTGAATGCCCCCTCCCTTTAAGTGTTCAAGACCAGGTTGGATGAGGCTTTGAGCAACCTGGTCTAGTGGAAGGTGTCGCTGCTGATGGCAGGGGGGTTGGAACTAGATGATCTTTAAGGTCCCTTCCAACCCAAACTGTTCTGTGATTCTGTGATTCTGTTCTATGGTTCTATTTTGCTCTCTGCCTTACTAGAGGGAATTAATTGTTCTGTGTTATGTTCTCATCTTTGTGGCTCTTGCTAAGAGCCCTGCCCTTTTCTGGGCTGGGCTGCGGGGCTGGCAGAAAGGGAAGGAAGGAAGTGGGCTGCCTTATCTGGTCCAGCCACTTTGTGCCTTACCACCTTGGGGCTGTACTTCTGCATCACAATACGGTCCAGGGAGGATTACTCCAGGTCGTCTACCAACTGCAAGAAACCACTATCTCCAAAACAGCAGAACTTGATTAGAGGCTGCTGTGCCACTTCCCTGCTCGGTGACCCCTGTGACAGCATAGCTCAAAACGATTGCACCGCGGCATTCACAAGCTGCGTGTTTTTTCTTTTTATATTGTTCACTGCAGCTGGCTGAAATGTCGGTGCTTCTGTGGCAGCACCCAGCTCAGGGGTGTGCAACCATGACATTTAATTCACTTTCAACCTCCTCTTTGGTAGGTGGGTCCTCCCTGGAAAACCAGAACTGTGCAGTTGTTGAATGAATTAGGAGTCCAGCAGCTGGCTCTGCAGGTGGCTTGGCCGGTGTGCAGGCAGCAGCTTCCTCCGTGCTGCCAGCCTGCCCTCGGGCTGCTGTTCAGAGCAGCTAAAGCTATCAACTGGTGTACGTTTGAGAAGTGTTTTTGTCAAAAAATTAGTTCAATTACCTGAACGTTACTGGTTTCTGTGGGATCTCACTGGATTTGCTTCAGGGCATTTTTTTTTATGGGATAACTGCGTAATGTAATAGAGACTGACTTTTGCACATTAACAAAGGTTCAGTTCTTGACCTTCACTTATAAAATTATTGAATCTGTAGCTTTGTAATACTTTGCTTCAAGCGTTTTAGGTAAATCATGAACCTTGGAGAAGTTTTGATTACTAATGTTGTGTTGCAGGTGGTACAGCAGAAACCTGAACAGAAGCAAGGCGGAGCAGCTCCTCAGAAATGAGGTGAGCACAGTGGCCTTGCAGTGTTAACCATGAAATTTGCTTAAACTAGTTTCTTTTATTAAAGCAGAGGCTTGTTGTGGCATGGGCAAATCACAGAACAAGTAGAAGAGACATACAGCTTAAAACCCATTGTACAAAACTGTTGATGTGCTTGTGTTTTAGGATAAAGAAGGTGGCTTTGTGGTGAGAGACTCAAGTCAGCCTGGCCTGTATACAGTTTCCCTTTATACAAAATTTGGAGGGTGAGTTTCTGTGGGTGCCCTGCACACCGTGTCTCGTCCGAATCCAGTTGCATCAGTATCCAAATCCATGGGCTGGAGGAAAGCCCAGGAGAGAGCTCAATAAGGAAATGAGGGTTGCTGTGATAGATAAGGCAAATGACTAAAACGGGCTTCTTGACTCCATGGTTTGGTCGTGTTTGCTTTAATCCAGTGTAGACCTGAACCTACTTCACCCAAAGAAGGAGGTCTTGCTCTCCCACCCAATTCAGTCTCATCCCTCCCGCCAGCCCAAGTGTTTGCGTCGGTGTGTGGTGAGGTGGATCCAGGAGCTCACTGGGCTGAAGATTAACCTTTTAGGGGTTAATCTTCAACTTAGTTGAGCACTGAGATGAAAGTGAGTCACCAGGCTTGGGATCTTTGATATTCAAGCTGTTCCTGAAGCATATGACATTGGCCATCTGTGCTGACCCTTTTGGTTTCCTAGTCAATGTGCTCCTTGTAAAAAGTTCACAACAAATGATACTGTATTATTGCTAATTGTTATTGTTACTCTTTTTCCAGAGAAGGTTCATCAGGAATAAGACACTACCACATAAAAGAAACGGTGACATCACCAAAACAGTACTACCTCGCAGAGAAACATCTCTTTAACTCCATTCCAGAAATAATTGAGTATCATAAACATAATGCAGCAGGTAGATGAACTGGATTTTTTCTGTCACTTAGGGTTGATTTGAAAAGCAGTGTGAGGAGTTTTAGGGTTTTAATTAAAGTTTTTAGGTTTTTATAGATCCTTCTTTTTCAGGGAAGTAATGAGACATTACATTTTCATTTTTTTCAATATAGACAATCATTTGAAAGGTTTTCTGTAAAAAAAAAAAAAAAAAAAAAAGAATAAATATGTTACTGTCCCCAGAGTAGCAGAAGAATAGCTGTATCGAGTCAGGAAAAACTGTTCATTTTGCTCCACATAGTGTCTTTATTAGCTGCCTGTAACCCACAGCAGATGGATAGGGATGGTACTTCCTCAGAATACTCTCCAGGCACTAGCTTTTTACCTACTGTAAAAAGTAGGTATAAATTTCCCTCATGAGCTCTAGCTTCCAGATGTTTATATCAAACTCAGATGATGCAGCATTTCCTGATGATATTCTTTCTGAAAAATATACTCCAAAAACATAACGCTGCTTTTGATTTATTATAACTGATTTATTGTAACTTATTTTTAATTGTCATACCGAGTTCTGACAAGATTTTAGGAGAATATTCAGAATATGCAGCATTTTGTATATATAAAATCTGAAACTAGTGGGATTTTTATGTGTGAAACAGAAATGATCAAAAATCACATTGTGAGTTTTAGATAATCTTTCTGATCGAATTTATGAAAGGGATCCTCAGAGGGGCCCTCATTCTTTACCTGCTTGATATGCTATATAGCATAACTGTAAAGCATGAATATGTATGCATATATCTATATTCACCTCTCGCCAGTAAAGAAGATGCAACAAGTTAGACGCAGTGAGCAGTGAGTGCTCCTGTGCAGCTCTTGCAGCCACTTTGATTAGTCAACACAGTGCAATAGCACAAAACGTGGTCAAAGCTGTAGATAATGATAAGCTTTTTGTTAATCATTGTTGAAGTTTGCAGTGAACAAGTGGCTGATTTGCTGCCTGGCACTATTTCAGAAGTAAACTGTCTCTTGAATTATCATTGAACCTTAGGTCTCGTTACCAGACTGCGTTACCCAGTGACCCCAAAGAAGACGACAGCACCAACAACGGCAGGATTCAGCTATGGTAATTGCTTGTTATCTATGTTCATCTTCTAAAATTATTTTATGTATATTAAGATGCTACAATATTTTCTAAATTTTGAAAAGACCAAATTTTGTACTGTGATCTGCTATACTATTTTACGTGGATCCAAGTTTTACCTTCAGAATCCTTGCACAGAGGATCAGCAGGCAAAGGCATCATGGCATGTGGTGCCAAGGGGAGCAGTGAGGAGAGGCAGAACATGTCACTGGTGCTCCAGGGGAATTCCTTGGCATCTTCCTCCATGCTTCTGTGGACACCTGGAGCTCTGCCTGATTAAAGAGCTGCACCTTGGGCTCCTTCATAAACCTCCAGAATTCTGACTCAACCTTGGCACTTTGATCTTTGTGGAGGGGTTACTTTTTTTGTTGTTGTTAATATAAATTTGGAATAACCTGTTTTAAGCATTGGCACATCAGGTGATGTGAGCAGCTTCTACTCATTGGCACAACTTTCTATGATGGCAACTCGTTGAAATCAAGTCTGATAACATCAGCATGTAATTACTGGCCTCAAGAAAGTTTGAGTTTTACCTTCTGTTTTGGTCAGGAGCTGCTTAAAGGTCATATCTACCTAAAAGTTTGTTTTGTGAGGTATAAAGTGTTTAGTTTTCAAGTTAATTCTAAGATGTTTTCTCCCTGAATTCACTAATTTACTCGTAATCCAGTTTCCCTTTCCTTTTCCTTATCACCTATGGGTTTGGTGGGTTCGTTAATACAGGAGTCATGGGCTATTGTTTGTTTTGTTTTATAGAGAAATGGGAAATTAATCCCTCAGAACTGACGTTCATGAGAGAACTGGGGAGCGGTCTGTTTGGTGTAGTGCGCCTTGGGAAATGGAGGGCACAGTATAAAGTGGCCATCAAGGCAATTCGGGAAGGTGCAATGTATGAAGAGGATTTCATTGAAGAAGCTAAAGTAATGATGTGAGTTGCGTGCTTGACACTTTTATTGCTGGTTCTAGGCCTCTGATGCCATATACTGATTATAAATAGAACACTTGGGGCAGGTGATATTTTTGCAGTTTTGTGGGGTGGAGAGCTAGCACTGGGTGGAGGAAGTAATAACGACATGATCTCAATCTTTTCAGGAAGCTAACACATCCTAAATTAGTTCAGCTGTATGGTGTGTGCACACAACAGAGACCTATTTACATTGTGACAGAGTTCATGGAGCACGGCTGCCTTCTCAATTACCTGAGACAAAAACGAGGAGTTTTGAGTAAAGATGTCCTGCTCACTATGTGCCAAGATGTATGTGAGGGAATGGAGTACCTGGAGAGAAACAGCTTTATCCACAGAGACCTGGTAACATCCCATTAGGCAATACACTCCTCTTTGAATTTTTTTTTTTTAACTTACCTATTCATCTTTGAAACAATCTGTTTGTAAATAACTGCTTTTGTTCTTGGAGAATGATTATAAGTAGTTGAAGTTGGCTCTTTAGGGTCTAATTGAGTCTCTAAATTGCTCTGTACAGAAAATGATTAGAGGTTCCTCTCTCTCAAGAAAATGGAATAAAGGATCTCTGAAATTTTTATAAAGACTTAATAGCTATTTGTGTTGATATAATAGCATATCTCTGTTCTGTATTAGTGCCATTTTCACCACTCATTAATCCCTTGAGATGCTAAGTTTTGCTGGTGATTTTTTTACAGAATGTTTTAGTTGTCAAAAACAATACTATCGAGAGCAAATGCACATGTACCTTTTATAATCAGAATATACCACTGAACTTAGTCAATCAGTGAACTTGCTAAGCAATGAGGACAAAGTTCTCATTAGACCGTTGTAATTTGTCTGCAGAAGACTGCAGGTTTTTCATCCAACTCTAACCACTCCCTTTGCAGGCTGCCAGGAACTGCTTGGTGAGCGACTCGGGAGTGGTCAAAGTGTCGGATTTTGGAATGACAAGGTATGGCCGAGTGTGCAAACACATTTGTGGGGATTTGGGAAAATTCACCTAACCCTTGTACTTAAACCATAAGGCAATGCATGCCCAGCAAAATTACAGGCAAAAAATGATCTTTTTTGACCTCTCTAGGGAACATCCCTTGGTTCATTTTTTTCCAGTGGCTTTAAAGCTTGTTCGTTCTGTGGTCTTGTGTCAATTTCCTTACTCATTTTAATTCTGGAAAATAAAAACTAGGCAGTTTATTCTCTAGAGAAGTAAGTGTGTCTAGCACTTGCTATGAGAAGCCTGACTTTGAACTGATTCTGTGGTCTTAACTGGCCTTCTGTTAGCAACTTCCTGCAACATCTGTGAAAATCTTACAAATTTTAATCTTGTAGTGATGCAGGAGGCACATGAGAGCTTGTGTCTCAGACAGCAGAGCTTGTGCTGCAGAGGTAGTTGTTATTAATCTGTATTTTGGTAAATAAATGATAGAAAGAGGTTGTTCAGTGAGTTTGGGATCCTCTTAGGGTAGATCCTCTAGAGTTGCGTCTTGCCAGCCAAAGTGCTGGGAGGTGCTGAGACATGGAGAGGGGTTAATTTCCTGCCCTTGTTAGCACCTGCAGGTGCTACATCAGGTGGGTGATATGTGGGCAAGGCAGGAGGTGGAGGGCAGCACTTACAAGGAAGGTGTTAAAGCAGCATGCTCTTGGCTGTTGCCACTCTTCTGTGTTTCTGAGCTTGTATGTCCTGTGACACCTGAAATCAGAGTGGCTGGTGAGAAACAGAGCAAGAAAATTAACTGAGTTTTGACTGAAACCTTAGTACTGCACAGAGAAGCTATTTTTGTTGTGTGATGCTAACAGTCATGGCCATTAGGTGGCAATATGAGCTTCTAATATGCAAACCCAAATCTAAATTGTAATTTGCAGGCTGAAGGATATTGTGGTTTTCTTTTCTTTTTTTTTTTTTAATTTTTTTAGGTATGTCCTTGATGATCAATACACAAGCTCCTCAGGGGCTAAATTTCCTGTGAAATGGTGTCCCCCCGAAGTTTTTAATTATAGCCGATTCAGCAGCAAGTCAGATGTCTGGTCATTTGGTAAGATGTTCATCATTAAAAGAATGCACTGTTTTTACATTTTATCAATAGAAGTTAATCTCCAGTTACTGGGAAGGATTCAGACATCTGAGAAGAAGCTCAGAGAAACCATTTGCTGGGGATTTATGCTTGTGTAAAGTTCCACAGAAACCTTTAGAACTGTTACTTATCAAAACCCATGCTACGAGAATAAGATGTTTTCAGCAATGACACATGTGAACACTTTCTAGAATATAGATCTCAAACTATTTATCTATCAGAAATCCTGAGTCCAGGGCTCAAAATCAACATATATTTTTAAGAAGTTATTTGCTTATTTTCTTATTTTTTTTGTTTGTTTGTGTTGTTTTGTTTTTTTTTTTTTTAGGTGTTTTAATGTGGGAAGTATTTACGGAAGGAAAAATGCCCTTTGAAAAAAGCTCCAACTATGAAGTGGTAACGATGGTTAGCCAAGGACATCGTTTGTATCGGCCCAAACTAGCCTGTAAGCAGGTGTATGAAATGATGATGATGTGCTGGCAAGAGGTATATACTTTTTATTTTTTTGTCTTTGAGTTGAAAAAAGGTCAATTTAGCAACAGCAATTAATCTCTATTGCAGCATTTTGGTTGTATCCAGCGCTCTCAGCTATTCATGTGTTTCTTGCTAAGATAAAGATCTCCCCCTGGTTTGCAGCTGAACTAGAGCTGTGATAAGAAAAACTACCAAGGAAATTTCTATTAAATAAATGGACTGACAGATTAAGTATGAAAAGGTGTTTAGTAACTAAATTAAATAATTGCTAAATCTGTGCTGGTCACAATTATATCTGTGTACAAATACTGCTAGCAAAAAAAAACTTCAGTCAGAATGGCCCAGAGGTGGAGAATCTGATTTTATATTGCCTCAGTTTATTAATCATTACAGAAACATACCAGAATGACTGAAAATATTTTTAAAGGAACACTTCATTACGTGGTTGTAAATTATATAGGAAATATAGATTAACTTTCAGTTGAATCTAAATACAAATCCCAAGGTTTATAAAGAAAGATAAAAGTACACTCTACTATTAATCCTCCTGAAAGATACTGACTGCACAATTTTCACAGAAGTCAAAGGGGCAGAAAACCCAAATTTAATACTTTATCAACTAAATCAGTATAAAACAGTTTTTGTAGTATTATGCAGAAAGTCTCTAAGAGGATACATACATTTGATGAAATACCTCTAATTTTTAGAGAGCAATCAAGTAAACCAAGATTGGAAGGAGCTACGTGATGTATTTCTGGTTAGTCTTTGCCACAGTGAGTGCTGGGGAAGATGTGCTCTTTTCCAGTAATAAAGATGTCATACTGTCTGACACTTGTCTTGGAGGAGAAGCTGCTGGAACAGAGAGCAATTAGTCATCAAGCCAACTGGTCGAGATCTAAAACTTAGAAACTTGTTGGTTTATGCAGCAAAAAAATACATTAAAAACACCGGTGCCCTGGAGGGCTGCAGAATGACAAATATATCTGTAGTTCAAAAAAAGATACTCACAGGAGCTAAGAAACTACAGATCATTAAGTTTGGTTTGTATTGGTAACCTGCTTGAAATGGTTGTTAAAATGGAATAATAAATTACCTGGAAGATAATGATAAGTTATTTGTTAATGCTCTTAGAATATTAATATGTATTTGTAGGATTTATATGAGCATCAATAAACTGATTAAAAATTTATTAATTTCATCAGGAATTATTAACAATAAACAACAATAAAATCTAAGCAGTCTTCATGTGGGAGAGCAAGATATTTATGAATCACAAACAGGACACAAGTAATGGCAAGATACTGTCAATCTTTGTCATAAAATATGATTAACTATAGGTAACTCAGTCCTTGTTTAATAAGTCTACTAATGATTTGTAGATGGAAGTGAATACTGAGGCTTCAAAATTCAGCAGGTGATACAAAACTTAAGAGGCTGATAAATGGAGGAAAAGTGTGAGTTATCCAGACATTCAGAAGATGCTAAATTAACTGTGTCAGCCAGGTCAGCGAAGAGATTACTTCAGTGTATTGCTGTATTTAAACGAAACAGGATGTTATGACACATAAGGAACTCTATAGAAAATAAATACAGTACATGAAGGATGCCATTGCATAAGTCTATGATGCAGTGTCATTTCAGACTTGAAAAAATAACATTGAAGTAAAGGAGGCTTCAGAGAGTGGCACTCAAAATTCTTAGGAGCATGAACAACTTGCGTAAAAATAGATTGGAACAATTCATTGGGGGAGGTGGGGATGGGGAAGAAAGATGAAAAATAATTCATTATATGAAGAGTGTAGTCCAACAACACCTATTTAAGCTTTTTCAAAGTATATATATATAAAAAAGGCACTTACTGAGATTAAGCAACACATATCAAAACCAACACAACTTTGTTGCTTTCTGATCACAGCTTTCCATGCTTTTATTTTTAGAAACCAGAGGGACGCCCAACTTTTGAAGACTTGCTTCACACAATCATTGACATGGCAGAGGGTGAAGATGCTTTCTGAAAAAAGACAACAGCAGCACAAGTACAAGAAAGAAGCCACTTTCCAGAGATGTGGATCACCGTTTCTTTTTAAAGGCTTGATCCTGTAAGCTGCTGGATACAGCATGGGGAACCTGTAATATCTGATCCACTCCAGCGCAAGGACAGTTTTACACGGTGTTCGGAAATGAGCACAGTATCTTCAGCAATACTAGCAATCTCTTTATTTTCTCTGAAAAGTCAGCGTTGCATAGTTGGCAAGTTGAGCTCTTTATGGAGGAAGAGAGAGAATGTAGCCAAAGCCCAGGAGCCTAACTTGCGTTTAGCAGGTTGGGTTCATGTACATACAGTCCACTTCTCTGAGTTTCTCTTCACACAGGCAGTAGTATTAGTAGTGATTTGCATGCTTAAAAAAAAAATTGAAGCTATCTATAAATGGCTGTTTACTGACATTGAAATGTTTCCAGAGGTTCTCCAGAAACATTATTTTTCTCAGCTGATGGATGTTTTATGACACATCAAGAACACAAAATGTGCCTCTTTCATTTGCACATAGTAGGTTGTTAACAGCACAAGTCTTCACTTTAGTGTAACACTCAAAAAGCTTTGCTTCAGAACTGAGTCGTGATATGCCCCAAGCCATTCTGGGCTGTTTGTTCAACCAGAGGCCTCCCATGGTTACTTGTGAAAAATAAGTCAAAGAGTCAGCACAATGGGTAGTCAGTGTACCATAGTACCTTGTTTTGGATTAATTATAAAATATTTTATATGCTGTATGTATTGTAAATATATAAATTCCATGCATTTATTTATATAAAGTGTGTTTTCCTCTTGAAATTATCAAGCAGAAGTTTGTCCTCTCTTCACTTACATCCACAACTCGTTACATGGGGTTGTAAATGAAAGTAAACTCTCAAGTGTGTTTAAGGAGGGCTCTTCTTTCTGTCTGTCATCTGTACGTGCAGTGATCTAACCTGTCCTTACCGAAATTTTTCTAACAGAAAATGTCATACTACATGTGTGTGTGAATAAACTGAATGTTAACTGTTGTTTGGAACCAACTAATGTGTTGCCAATAATTTACTGTCAGTGCATCATAAGCCAACGTCATTGTTCATGTGAATATGGTGCTATGACAGTCTGTGCATATATATGTGTGTGTGTGTATACACACCCTATACTACATATATATATATAGTAGTATGAATATATATTTAAGTTAATTTGGCCATGATGAAATGTTCAGTGCAGAAATGCTTGAACTCTTTAGAAGTACATGGCCTGTTCCCTCTGCTAGAGGCTAATGTCTCCACAGCCTTGCTGAAGCCTGTTTCAATTAATCTAACTTTGTACTAGTGGACAGTTCAGTTTTGCCGTAGCCACCTCCTGAGTAACTCTATTACATTTTATTTTTCATTTTTTTACTTGTGCTCTTTTGCCATGTGTAATAGAAAATAGATTGCACACTTTAGAAAAAAAAAAATTATTTTTTTTTTTTTGCAAGTAGGCAGAGAAGGAGTGTGATGAAGTTTTATTTCCAATCAGAGTACTAAGGGTAACTGTAGTTAGCTTTAATACCTTCTATCATTGTTGCATTTGAGTATTTCTGTAATCAGTTTTGGAGATTCTTAGATCAATCCCCACACTGTTTTGCCTAAGTCTTTATGCTCAAAAGGAGGAATGCTCTTGTTTCCTGGAAGAAGTGCCTTCCTTTTCTCGTGCTCTTCCATTGAAAAGTTACAAGCTGTCAGAAAAAGTTCAAATGCCTATTTCCTTTTTCTTAATGACAAAGTCTCAGAAGATTATTGCAACTATGCAAACCAACCTGTCAAAGTGTTGAGTCCAAACCACTACCCAATCAATACCAACAGCATGTATTATTAAAGGGGAAAATCTAGGGGTTTCCTATCTCTGGTAGAAAAAGGAATGTGGAAGATATAAGGTAAGCTAAGCTTGTCTTTCCTTCCCTGACTACTCCTTTGCACCCCAGTTTGATACTTACCTAGGATGTCAGGAGCTGTGAGGCACCTATTCCAGATGAAAGCATCTTTTTAGTTGAATGTAGCCTTAGATGGTTAATTCTGGAAAGGATCAGAACACTTCTGGAGGCAGCTGTCTTGCTAACTCCTGTTGTCCTCAAAGGGACATTGAAATGTTGTACCATCCTTTCTTCTGCATGAGCTCATTCATCCTTAAGGAACTTCAGTCTTTTTTCCTCTCTTTATTATAACTGAATTTTTTTCAAATGTCGGGGTCAAAAATACATTTGAACAGAACCAAATACTGTAATTTACATGTGTATTTTTTTCACCTTTTTTAAAGAAATGCTTAGCCCTACTGTTTACAGTTTAATATTTTTTTTCTGTAAAATGCGTGCTTGATACTAGAAAGCAAACTTTTTTCACTTTTTATTTTTTTTTTAATAGACATAAGATTTGTATCTAGTCTGCTTGGCTTTTTTTCTTTTTTTTTTTTTTTTTAAAAAAAAGGTAGGTAGGCGGGGTCAAGCAGTATTTGTGGTTTACCGTGTTTCATATCAGAGTGAATAGCTCTGCTACAGCTGTTTTACTGGCACAACTGATGAAGAGAGGTTTGCATTTTCACTTGAATGTAAGCAGACAACCAACATGATTCTGTCTACCTGTAAGTAAACTGGACTGTGTATTTTGATCTTGCAGTTTTGTTTTTGTGCAGCAGCAGTGTACTTAGCAAATGAGCTATTTAAATATTACCATAAAAATACCAACCAGCATTCTCTTGCACTGCTCAGGTGACCTCTGTTCAGACTGCTTGCCTTGACTTTCAGAATTACTGCACAAATATGAATCCATCGTATGATGGATTCAGCAAAGCAACGACTGCTACATACAGATAGGGAGATATTCCCACATACTTTAAAAGCATGTATGGCATAGACATGAATAGAGTTCGGTAGAACTAGAGCTGTCTTTCCTCCAAAGCAGAATTAATTCACAGGAAAGACAGAAAGCCTCAGCTTGCACATATAAAAAGTTGAAAGCTTGTCTTTTAAAGTATTTTTAGAAGCTAAGTATACTGTGGCTTTCTGCTAGATTACTGATTTTTCTAGTAGTGTTGAAAACATACCAGATCAGGAGACGTACCATGTGTTACAGTAAAGATCTGGGTTTGATGGGTGAAGCAGAGTTTGTAGTGTTGAACACAGCTAACCTGCTGCCCCACTGCAAGACCAAGAACTTCTTGCAAAACACTCTAGAAGAGTGCAAGTCTTAAACATGGAGTACAGCGCTTTCAAAATTAGTAGTGCTTTGAGAAACAGTGAATCAGAAAAAGAAACTCAGCCAAGAAAACTATGAAATAATAACATGATAAAATGCAAATTATAACAATTAATCTCTAACTTGTTGCTTTTGTCTTTGATACTACTTCCCCAAAGCTGCAGATTAGAGTGAGTTATAACTGAAGAGAAGAGGAAGGTTGCTCTTGTAAAGGTGTGTGATTTGGCCACCCAAACAGACAATGTTTCCAACCCAAAGCATACTGCTGGGTGTTGTGGGACTTTGTCAGGCCAGTTATTGGCAGCAATGGACCACCTCAAAGGACTTGTGTGTTTTCTCTGTGCCTTTTCTGTTTCCCCAGGACTTTCAGCTTCTCAAGCAAATGGCTGTTCCTGACAGCTGACCAATCTTTTCCTTCTTCCTTTAGCATCCCGTCTGCTCCGTTATGCACAGATAAATTTGTTTTCAGGCCTCTAAGCTAGTTATCAAAATGTCAATCCGATAAAAATCAAGCAAATTTTTAGTCTGAGTACTTCTCAGGCTAGCTTCAATGCCAGTTTCCTACTTTTTCCACTTCATCCACATGCTTCTCTTGTTTCTTCTTTCTTCTCTTCTTTCTTGTTTCAAAACTGTGCATGCTAAAAGCATAAATCAATAGGCTATCATGGCTCTGTGCTAGTGTTGGGATTCATATTAGTTTGTCACTGGGGAGATAATATGACACTGTTTTAAAAAAACAAGTGTTTTCCTCCTAAAATAGTAATTTCCAGAATGAAAAAGACATGAGCAGTGAAATGGGCTATGTTTTTTGTTCCTGTGTTAAATTATTTGTAGAATTGGATGACCTTTGTCTGAGGTTGCAAGCTTTAATCAGAAATTGGAGAAATTAAATTCTCCTTGTTAAATTATTCAATTGTGTAAGTGAAGAAGGGAAGTTTGGCAAATTCTAGATTCAGCAGCTCAAATACTCATCTTGTTTGATTTAAACTGAGGTTTTAAGCTCCTGACTTCAGTTGCTCCATGATGGCTTACCTTGAGGATCAAAGCCAAATGTGTTTTGGTAGCTTATGTTCTGATAGAACTTGGGGAAATGTGGGCTGAAAGGTCTAGTGGGGCTGTAGATGCTGGTGAAACCTTCCTTCATATGAATTTAAAAGAAGCAAGATTTGACCACTTTTTCTGGAATTTTTGGGAAAATTTTTGCTTAGGTACGAAACAGAGAAGTGGGACCTGAAAATAATGAGAGGTCCGTAAGTACTTTATTTAACAAAGTTAAATTTACTGTTAAAAATTTTGGCATAGTTCTTTCTGTTAGCCTTTCTTTCCTGTGTCCTGTCCAAGGAGTCTGTCATTCATAATACGGTAAATCTTTTTGGTGTCTCTGTTCTCTTAAAAATATGGAATCCAAAATTTGATTTCCTTGCTGAAGCACAATTTTCCCTGATACCTCACTGACTAATTTTTAATTTCTGAACTTTTTGATGTGGTTACTTGAGTTAGGGACAAGTCAAGGCCTGCTAATATATATGCAACTCTAACACTTTGACAAATCCAGAGTGTTTTGCTTAAGAAAAGGTTTTTGGTCCAAAATTGAAGGAAATCAGATGGAATAGTTCCCCTGATTTCAGTGATTTGAGTTAGGGCACACCAGAAAGGAAAATCAAGAAGAAATATTTACAATTATGAATAAATTCTAAGAACCTATTTTCAATTTCTTATTTGCATTCTAAAAGGTAGCAGGTTTATTTTGCTTTAAAGTGCAGGGTTTTTAAAACTATTATTATTTCTTAGTTTGTCTGATGGCTGTTGAATAGAAGAAAAGAGAAAGGAAGGAAGAGACAGAGTCACAAGAGGGTGTGCATAGC